CCCCAATTTTTATTTAGGGCCCGCACCCACCGCTCAGGGGTGGGGGCTGGGGGCAGGACAATAGGTCCCCCCCTTATTTTACTTTAGGGCACCCTCCCGCCATTCAGGGGTGGGAGCTCAGGAGGGGGGAACATTTTTTTTTTTTTTTTTTTACAGTGAGCAGTAATAGGCTGCTCACTGTTTAATAGACATGCCCCTACTCGCGGTATAGCGAGTAGGGGCATAATTTACTAATACTAAGTTATCTTTACTTAGTATTAGTAAATTTGTCTGAAAGACCAATTCAGATCTTTCAGCCTTTTAGTAGATAGCTCTCTAATACCGTGGGAATTAGGGAGTTATCTACTTATTCACTCCTGTCATTACATTGACTGGCCAAGTAACTTACATTTTATATGAATGTGTGTTACTTGATTATTGTTGCAAATGTTTACAGCTGAATCCTGGCTATGTTTGTATACTTTTTATTTAAAATGTATGCAGTGTAACATTCTTCTTCTTCCACTGGGTAAGTATGTTAGTACTTAGGCAATACATTTTACTTCCTTTTACAGCCCTCTAGCCCTTTCCAGGACTTTTTTAGAGCCATTTTAGTGCCCAAAAGTTCTGGTCCACATTGACTTCAATGGGGTTCGGGTCAAGGTCGAGTCCCGAACGCAAACTTTTTGCAGAAGTTCGGGCTAACCCGAACATCCAGGTGTCCGCTCAACTCTAGTCACAATACATTTACATAAGTAACTTTAAGGCACCTGCAGGAGATGCAGACTAAACATATGTGCATACATGTTGACTCCTTTCACTTACCTCTTCAAAAAATTATGTCAACTATCTCATATAAACAAGAAAATTATAGCTGTGAAAATGGCTTTAGACAAGCAGAGATTAAAGGTGGCGGTGTAGGTTTTCTTCTCTCACCCCACTGCACCTTTAAAACCCTGTCTACCCCCCCTTCCCTCTCTTTCCCATCATTTGAAATTCATTCAATTCGCCTTTTCAAACATTTCTCTGCTAACATTGCCGTAATCTATCGTCCCCCTGGTTCCCCTCTCCTCTTCCTTGACCACTTTGCTGCCTGGCTACCCTACTTCCTCTCTTCCAACATCCCATCCCTAATTCTTGGAGACTTTAATATTCCCATTAACCCACCTTTGACCCCAGCAGCCTCTAAACTAGTTTCAATCACTTCCTCCCTTGGACTTTTGAAGTGGGCTAATTCTCCCACTCATGTAGCTGGCAATACCCTCGACCTTATTTTCTCTTATTCATGTACAATATCTAATATCTGCAACACCCCATTTCCTCTCTCTGATCACCACCTCTTATCGTTTGCTCTCAATTACCCCCTCACCCAACAATCTCAGCCTAACCCCCCTCAGCTCAGGAGGAACCTTAACTCTATTGACCTCAACACACAACTAGACTACTGAGTGACGACGTCAGTGGACGGGGACACAGAGACTAGGACTTGACAAAAGACGGTAGATCCTGACCATCCGTGCAATCATCAGGGATCCTTCTTGACCTGGCTGCTTGACAGGCTAGCTGAGACCTAATTCACCACACCGACCCCACGACAATAAGATTGACATGCGCTCACCACAAGTAGACATAACAGGGACACTTACCCTCGGCAGAACACTGATGACAACACGCACTAGCTAAACACAGGGTGAGGGTGGGGGTAGTGAATCGTGTACAAGAAATGGGCTACATATAGCATGTATATGCACAAGTAAGAGGTGAGCAGAGGACTCCTGACCTCGGAGTGATAAGCGCTCAGATAATGATTTATGGGGAAAGTGGCACCTAAGCACCCTAAAACAGGTAGAAGCTTCTCAAACACACACCCCAGGAAACAGAAAAGGTTACGTTCATGTCACCATGACGGAAAGGATTACATACTTCACCACCCTATCTCCACTCGCTTGAGCTAATATGGAGTTATTAACAGGACCTGTGGGTCTTCTCCACTCTGATAAGCTACTAGGTAGCCTACTCTATACCTTATATGGTGACAATTTATTATTAGACACCTTGGATCATATCTGAGGCTGATAGGCCCCGTCCTCTCGCTGTGTTAACACCAAGAGTTGCTGTATTCTGCGAGTACACACGCACACATACTCACATACACTGATACATCACTCTAGGGCAAAGCTCACCTACATCTTTCCAAACACGGAAAGGGAACACAGAACTTATACACTGACCAGTCATTAGAGTTTACGATCCTAGCGTGAATTGTTACGCCGTTATTATATTGCATTTACGCTTGTTTCTTTTTATGACTTATATTGTTAACTTTGTACCTTTTGCTGGCTAGCGAGCCTAACTTTTGCTGACTTTTATGACTCAATAAACAAGATTTACAAAAAAAAAAAACTCTATTGACCTCCAGCAGCTGTCAGCTGATATTGAGTCACAACTGCTATCCATCCCTTCCCTTTCCTGTCCCTCACTGGCCATCTCCACATATAACACTACCCTCACATCTGCCTTGAACGCTGCAGCCCCATTCAAAACATGCACCTCGAGGAGGACACGACCCCAACCTTGGCATTATAAATCAACACGCTATCTGCAGAGTTGCTCCCGTTGTGCTGAACGCTCCTGGAGGAAGTCCCGCACCCAGGCAGACTTTCTCCATTATAGATTCATGTTGCTTTCATACAGCGCAGTCCTCACCCTCGCCAAACAGACATACTTTTCCTCTCTCATTAGTTCATGCTCCCGCAATCCCAGACGCCTCTTTGACACCTTTAATTCCCTTCTCCGCCCTGCTGTGGCCACTCCCCAAACTAACCTTACAGCTGATAGCTTTGCATGCTACTTTACCGACAAGATTGAACAGCTAAGGAAACAATTCTCCCCTCCTTGCCGTTCTCTTTCTCAACCACATGTAAATCTTGCTTTCCCTACCCTCCAGACTTTCTACCCGGCTACTGAACAAGAGGTGGCTGCGCTTCTCCATTCCTCTCGCCCCACCACTTGCCCGCTCGATCCTGTCCCATCTCACCTCATCAGATCTCTCTCCCCTTGTCTTGTGCCTACCCTAACACACATCTTTAACTGCTCTCTCTCTTCTGGCACTGTTCCTGCTGACCTTAAACATGCCACTGTAATACCTATCCTGAAAAAAACATCTCTTGACCCATCCTCCCCTTCTAACTATCGTCCCATATCCCTGCTCCCTTTCTCATCAAAGCTTTTGGAAAGACTTGTCTTTACCCGTGTGTCCCGCTTCCTTAACTCCAACTCTCTCCTTGACCCTCTTCAGTCTGGCTTCCGCCCTCTCCAATCTACTGAGACTGCTCTTATCAAAGTGACTAATGACCTAATCTCCGCTAAATCCAAAGGTCATTACTCCATATTAATTTTCCTTGACCTCTCTGCTGCCTTTGACACCGTTGATCATGCTCTCCTCCTTCAAACTCTTCAATCGCTCGGTCTCTGTGACTCTGTCCTCTCTTGGTTTTCCTCCTATCTCTCCCAACGCTCATTCAGTGTCTCCTTTTCCAAGGATACCTCCTCCCCTCATCCTGTCTCGGTTGGAGTTCCCCAAGGGTCTGTCCTTGGTCCCCTTCTATTTTCTCTTTATACCGCCTCTCTTGGTAAACTGATTGCCTCTTTTGGATTCCACTACCACCTGTACGCTGATGACACTCAGATATACCTCACCTCCCCAGACCTTTCCCCTGCTGTCCTGCAACGTGTCACTGCTTGCTTTTCTTCCATCTCTGACTGGATGTCTTCACGCTTTCTGAAACTTAACCTCTCTAAAACGGAACTCCTTGTCTTTCCTCCTCCTAATACTGATCCTCCTCTCTCGCTCTCCCTTCAAGTCAGTGATATCCACATAAGTCCATCCCTGCAAGCGCGCTGTCTTGGTGTCATACTTGACTCTGGTCTCACCTTTGAGTCTCACATCCAGTTTGTTGCCAAGTCCTGTAGGTTCCAACTCAAAAACATAGCCCGCATTCGCCCCTTTCTTACGCAAGATGCTACCAAGGAGCTTGTCCATGCTCTAGTAATTTCCCGCATGGATTACTGTAACCCTCTCCTGATTGGTCTCCCCAAAAGCCGTATTGCCCCGCTACAGTCTGTAATGAATGCTGCAGCTAGACTGATTTTCCTCTCTAGTCGGTCCTCTCACACCTCACCCCTCTGCCGGTCCTTACATTGGCTCCCTGTATGCTATAGGAGTCAATTCAAAGTGCTAACCCATACATTTAAAGCACTGAACAATTCTAGCCCCACTTATATCTCTTCACTGATCCATAGATATGCCCCTCCTCGTACCCTCCGCTCTGCCCGTGACCACCTCCTGACCGCTGCTCGCACCCGTACGGCCAACTCGCGCTTGCAGGACCTCTCGCGGGCGGCTCCTCTCTTATGGAATAGCTTGCCTACTGCCATCAGACTCTCCCCTAGTCTTCAATCATTTAAGAAGGGCCTTAAAACCCATCTCTTCAGGAAAGCTTATGGCCTCCCAGAGTAATCTCTACCTTACATACCTGTCTCCTGCTCTCTCCTATGGGACAGTGCTTTGCTCTCTCCTCCAGCTCTGCTTCACTCCTACTTGATATTTCTTGTCCTAATGTTTCTAATACCCCACCTCCTATAGTCTGTAAGCTCGTTTGAGCAGGGCCCTCTTCAACCTATTGTTCCTGTAAGTTTTCTTGTAATTGTCCTATTTATTGTTACACCCCCCCTCTCAAAATATTGTAAAGTTTTACGGAATCTGTTGGCGCTATATAAATGGCAATAATAATAATAATAATCCCTGTGTTTTGACTGAATGGACAAGAAACTTATTAATATCTTAAACTGAAAATATTTCAGTCTTCTTTATTAGCAGATTAGCAACTTGGATAGCTTGGGAGAAAATGTTTCAGTGTCCATTTCATGTGTCATTTTTATTTTATGGATAAAAAACTATTTTTTTTTTTAGATCAAGTAAACTATGACTTTGCTAAATTCTGCCATTCATTTTTTAATGGTACACTTCACTGCTCAAATCCAGAATCAGTACAAAAAAAAATAAAATAAATAAATTTAAAAAAACACTTTTAGTAGATATATCCCAATAAAAACAAGCATGCATTTAAATTATGCATTTTTCTTCCGTGGAGATTCATTTAAAAGTAGTTTGCAAAAACTGCATATTTCTTTCTTTGAACCCTACCCTTTTAACCCCACCCAGACTTTCTGTGGTTGTCCAATGACAGACTTCTGAATGTACTTGCTTAACACTAAACACTTTAGCAAGCTAAAATTCTTTAGAGGAAGATTTTAGTTATTATGAAATGCTTGAAAATTTAATTTATTCTTCTTAAGCAGAAGAAAAAGAAGAAAAAAAAATAGTTTCACATGGGCAAGGTCCAATGTGCAAATAAATGAATTCCAGAACCAGTGCTGAAATGCTGGGCCCTTCTAGAAGATATCCATTGAAGCAGAGTGTGGTACTTACTGAATTTCAAATGTGCACCATCATTTTTATAATGCATAAAGTTCTTTATTGTCTATGAGCAGAACAGATATAATTTATTAACATGTACACAGACATTCTTCAGTAATTGACTCACAGAAAACTTTACATTCTAAAAATATATTCATGCAATACATGTGCATATTTATGCAAATGTAAAAGTTCACCCTGACCTTTACAAAAGCTTAAAATAAAGACTGCTAAGTTTTCTGGGTAAAGAGGATGCAGGATGCTGGTAAAGATAGTCTCATGGCTATCTCCTGAGGAAAGCTTCCATGGTTCGGAAATGAGTGAAGGGGGAGAATGTTTTGCTAACACACATCAATTAGATTAAAGCCCATCTTGCTTTCGCCAAAAACATTCTTTATTTTCTTTCCATGTGTAGCTTTCTTCTTCATAAACCTCCTATACAAAGCAATAAAAAAAAAAAAAACACCTATAAAGTATATTGTGATATGGTTACAAAAGTGTAGAATTATTCATTTTCCTTGAGCTTTCTTTTGTAATAAAACACATTTTTTATATTTTTTGCACACACAGAATATTTTATAAAGGATGATGATTAAAAGGGACACTATAGTCACCAAAACAACTACAGTTTATTGAATTTGTTCTGGTGAGTAGAATGATTACCTTCAGGCTTTTTGCTGTAAACACTGTCTTTTCAGAGAAAATGCAGTGTTTACATTACAGCCTAGTGATAACTTCACTGGCCACTCCTCAGATGGCCGTTAGAGATCCTTCCTGGGTCATGGCTGCCTAAAATGCATCCACACATTCAGGGTCTCCTCCCTCTGTATGCAGACACTGAACTTTCCTCATCGGGATTCATTGATTCAATTTATCTCCATGAGGAGATGCGGATTGACCAGGGCTGTGTTTGAATTGTGCTGGCTCTGTCCCTGATCTGCCGCCTTGTCAGTCTCATCCAATCCTATGGGGAAGCATTGTGATTGGATCAGGCCACAACTTCTGATGATGTCAGAGGTCAGAAGAAGTTCACAGGCATAGGCAGCAGCTTCAGACTTGAATACAAGTAAGATTTTACTATATTTAGGGAGGCAAAGGGGCCAAGGGGGCTAGATAGTGGCTTAAACACTATAGGGTCAGGAATAAAGGCTTACCTATGATTGGACCTCCATGAGGCTGTTGTGACATCTCAAGGGGGTGTGCCGAGCAGCGCTGGGAGCTTTGCCCGGTGCTGGATTAAGGCATGTAAAACCTATTTTATAAATTTGTTTAGCCCTTAGGGCGAACCCAAAGAATAATGCAAAATCAGGCATTATAAAAAAAGAAAAAGAAAAAAAGAAGGGTGTAAGAACACTTTAATTTCTACTGTGAAAATGTTCATTACAACATTTTAAATCTAACCTGTAGCAAGTATGAAAATACTAATTTTATATCTATAAGAGGAGCAGAACAGTCTACTGGTCGCATTAACGTATTAAATATTTGTTTCCAGGTGCCTAAAAGGGACACTCTAAGCAACAAAGCAACATTTGCTCAAGTGGTTTTGGTATATAGAACAAGCCCCTGCACAGTCACTACTCAATGTTCTGCCATTTAGGAGTTAAATCACTTTAATAGGCAAGCCTAACAGACTTCCTGTAAAGTCTGAAAAAGTTTTAAACTTCCTTTATTGCGCAGTGTGTTCATATTTAGAATTTCTTATCTCTTGCTCTGTTAATTGACTGGTAGAACCCGCAGGAGCATTGTGTGTATGATAAAAGTTCAGGAGATAAAAACTTCTTACGTAAACTCACTGTACTGTACGATTGGAGTGAAACAAACTATTTTTTTTCATGTTGACTGTGTAAGTCACAGCAAGTGAAGGTGTGACTAAGGCTGCATAAACAGAAACAAAAAATTAATTAACTCCTAAATGGCAGATAATTGAGCAGTGAAATTCCAAATGCATGACCTATACACCAAAACTGATTCAATAAGTTAAGTTGTTTTAGTGCATAAAATACCCCTTTAAATCAACTACATGTTACTCAGCAAGTATCTAACATGCCCATGATGTAATTAATGCCTCATTAGATGGCTGAACTAAATATTCAGTGCTTAATTATAAAATAATGAATTGTTAGAACTTCACAGGAACTTGCAAACTTTGAGTTGGTAACCAAATTGAAAAATCTAGGCCATATTAGACTTTGGGGCAGAAAAACCCTTACCTTTTTCCATATGGGTACAGTTGCTTTTAATGTGTTTATGCAGTATTTCACAGCATCCAGAGAGTCATTTCTGTGTGGTGAGGAAATAGCTATAATTACACTTGCCTCTGTGATTGGAACCAAGCTGCATACAAATGAAAATGTGATATATGTGAGTAACAACCTTAAAATTGTAATAATCTGGGTATTATAATTGTTTCGATCATTTAAAAATATTTTTTGTCTTTAGTTCAAAATACAATGCATTAAAAAGGAAAGAAAAAGAAAAAAACAATAGCAACCCCAAAACATCAATAGTATCTCAATTTTATGCACAGATGTTACAAAGCATTTTAAACTGATTGGCCCTAGTTCAGTAGGTTTAGAAGGGCATCTTTATTCTCTCTTATTCATATCTTTTTATTTGAAGCATAAAGGATGTATCACTTAAAGGACCACTATAGTGCCAGGAAAACATACTCGTTTTCCTGGCACTATAGTGCCCTGAGGGTGCCCCCATTCCCGTGGCGCTGAGGGGGGAGGAAGGGGTTAATCCCTTATCTTTTTTCCAGCTCCGGGCACTCTCCTCCCTTTTCTTCCATCATCGGCTGAATGCGCATGCGCGGCAAGAGACGCACGCACATTCAGCCAGCCCATAGGAAAGCATTCTCAATGCTTTCCTATGGACGCTGGCGTCTTCTCACTAGGAAAAATAACAGTGAGAAGCGCGGAAGCACCTCTAGCGGCTGTCAATGAGACAGCCACTAGAGGCTGGATTAACCCATAGGTAAACATAGCAGTTTCTCTGAAACTGCTATGTTTACAGAAAAAAGGGTTAAACCTACCCGGACTTGGCACCCAGACCACTTCATTAAGCTGAAGTGGTCTGTGTGCCTATAGTGGTCCTTTAAGATACACGTAAAGAGAATTAATGATACACCAAGAGTTATATGTGTGCACTGGACTGTAGTGCATTAAAAGACAATTTGCAAAATCTAGAAATTAAAATAGCAGATTTGTAAATATTATCCAAATTCACTATAGCAGCAACTTAAAAAATGTAGCCTAAACTGAAAATTAGTACTACTTGTGTTGTTCATGCATGTGAAATACACACTTTTTACTACAGATATGACAAACATTTGGAGACGGACCAACAAAGGTAATAAATTACATAGCAACACAAATATGAACGTATTAAAGTAACATATACATTAGTTAATAAAATAAAGCTTCAATTTCATCAAGTGTTTCTTCCCTCACTGGATAGTGGTGAACATTGGGGCCAACATATATGACCTTTTATTGCAACCAAAAACTGATCATGTGAAGTGAACAGCCTTGCATGAAGACTAACACCTACCCAAGTCTGTGGTACACTGCTATGTGCTTTACAGATACCCATTTTTGCCTGATGTCAGCCAGTATCTTTTTAAGTTCCATTTCTGCCATTGGTGTGTAAGCTTCATATTCGAGACATGCTACTTTCTTTCCTTCAAAGATATTTCTTGTAGTCCCTGATAAATATAGAATTGGAAATAAATATTCATGGCAATTTTGCATTCAAATTGGTATGTTTCTATTATAGATATGTCTTTGTAACATGCAATGAGTAGTGATGTATTTGAGATTAGCATTGTTCTATCCTGGACCTAGGGTACTTTGTCCCTCATTCTAATCCAACTACTTGGCACACTTCAAAATTTGCGATAATGTCCTAATCTAATAATGTCCTAACCAAAGAATCAAAATAATGGAAAACCATCTATATTCAATTTCCTTGGGACTTTTTTTAATTCCTGTCAAAGAGAATGTTTGTGACCTCTGGTCAGATGATCACGAGGAAAATAGTTTAATAATGTAAGACAGGTCTTGAAAATGTGCTATACATATTGACAGGGTAATCGAGAATCCCCAATTAAAATTAAAATACATTTGTACTTAATACAGATTTATATTGTGGTTTCTCCAAGTTCTAAATCTATTTCCATACTAGCATGGGGGGGTGGGGGAAGGGGTCGACACCATAAGGAGCTATAGTGCAAGGAAAACAACTTTGCTTTCTTGACACTATAATTTCCTTTAAGCCCAGTGGTTTCTGTGCTCGATGTTTATAAATCAATATGAAATACATGTGTTATCAAAAGACAGATTTTCTAATATGATATGACTTTTCTGTTCTAGTTTCCTCAGTCCGATATTATGTCAAATTATGAGATGGGAGATATAATTTGATTATTCATATCTGAGCAATGCACAGGACTTTACTTTACTTGGCACTTTTAATTTTTATTATTCAGCCCCCTTAGTTTTTCATGTACAATACACAGTATGAATAAATGTGATACTCTAGAATGTGGCTACTCTTTAAGTAAGCTACAAAACCCCTAGTTGTATACATATAATCATATTAAATATTGAATTTAAATTCCCATTAGTCAATAATTGTACACTGAAACGTATTCATAAAAAAAAGTTGAGTGTGCTGCAAAAAGTGTGGTACAAAACAAATACTTTAACATACCTATAAAAATGGACACAGCGCCACAGTCTGGAGAAACCACTAACTGAGAAACCTCATCGGTTGAAAGCTTATCAGGTGTTATTTTTATGAAATCACAAGGATCATTATCACTTTCATCCATTGCAAACTAAATATAAAAAGAGAAACATTTTTGCATAATCTCATTTTACTTTAAAATAATTAAGACAATTATTTTAAAAAAAGTGTCATATTATATTATTGTTTTAATATAACACATAGGGGTTGGTCAGGGGTGCCCAAAAGGAAGATCTTTAGATGTTTTAAAACTACAACTTCCATGATGCTTTGTCATTCTAAAAAGACATGCAAAGCATAATGGGAGAGAAATTCTGCAACATCTGGGGAGCTACCTTTTAGGCACCCCTGGGGATGGTTCACACACACGTAGCCAAATTTAAACATAGAAACATTGAATGCGACGGCAGATAAGAACCATTTGGCCCACCTAGTCTGCCCAAAATGTAAAGTTCTGTTACATTGCTGCACTGATTGTTTTTATGTAACATATAAAGGAAATCGCAACATCGATAAGTTATCCTTGTTACACCTCCCTGGCTGTCAGCCAGCCAGTCCTCTTACATAGAAACATAGAATGTGACGGCAGATAAGAACCATTCGGCCCATCTAGTCTGCTCAATTTTCTAAAAACTTTCATTAGTCCCTAGCCTTATCTTATAGTTAGGATAGCCTTATGCCTATCCCATGCATGCTTAAACTCCTTTACTGTGTTAACCTCTACCACTTCAGCTGGAAGGCTATTCCATGCATCCACTACCCTCTCAGTAAAGTAATACTTCCTGATATTATTTTTAAACCTTTGTCCCTCTAATTTAAGACTATGTCCTCTTGTTGTGGTAGTTTTTCTTCTTTTAAATATAGTCTCCTCCTTTACTGTGTTGATTCCCTTTATATATTTAAATGTTTCTATCATATCCCCCCTGTCTCGTCTTTCCTCCAAGCTATACATGTTAAGATCCTTTAACCTTTCCTGGTAAGTTTTATCCCGCAATCCATGAACCAGTTTAGTAGCCCTTCTCTGAACCCTCTCTAAGGTATCAATATCCTTCTGAAGATAAGGTCTCCAGTACTGTGTACAATACTCCAAGTGAGGTCTCACCAGTGTTCTGTACAATGGCATGAGCACTTCCCTCTTTCTACTGCTAATACCTCTCCCTATACAACCAAGCATTCTGCTAGCATTTCCTGCTGCTCTATTACATTGTCTGCCTACCTTTAAGTCATCAGAAATAATCACCCCTAAATCCCTTTCCTCAGATGTTGAGGTTAGGACTCTATCAAATATTCTGTACTCTGCCCTTGGGTTTTTACGTCCAAGATGCATTATCTTGCACTTATCCACATTAAATGTCAGTTGCCACAATTCTGACCATTTTTCTAGTTTACCTAAATCATTTGCCATTTGGCTTATCCCTCCTGGAACATCAACCCTGTTACATATCTTAGTATCATCAGCAAAAAGACATACCTTACCATCAAGACCTTCTGCAATATCACTAATAAAAATATTAAAGAGAATGGGTCCAAGTACAGATCCCTGAGGTACCCCACTGGTGACAAGTCCAAGCTTCGAATATATTCCATTAACTACAACCCTCTGTTGCCTGTCACTCAGCCACTGCCTTACCCATTCAACAATATTTGAATCCAAACTTAAAGATTGCAGTTTATTGATAAGCCTTCTATGTGCAACAGTGTCAAAAGCCTTACTGAAATCTAGGTAAGCAATGTCTACTGCACCACCCTGATCTATAATTTTAGTTACCCAATCAAAAAAATCTATAAGATTAGTTTGGCATGATCTCCCTGAAGTAAACCCATGTTGTCTCTGATCTTGAAACCCATGTGTTTTTAGATGTTCATCAATCCTATCCTTTAACATGGTTTCCATCACTTTCCCCACTACTGAAGTAAGGCTTACTGGCCTATAGTTGCCCGACTCCTCCCTATTACCTTTCTTGTAAATGGGCACAACATTCGCTAACTTCCAATCTTCTGGGACTACTCCTGTTAACAATGATTGGTTAAATAAATCTGTTAATGGTTTTGCTAGTACACCACTAAGCTCTTTTAATAGCTTTGGGTGTATTCCATCAGGTCCCATTGACTTATTTGTCTTTACTTTTGACAGTTGAAATAGAACCTCTTCCTCTGTAAACTCACGTGTAATAAATGACTCATTTATCCTTTTTTCTCAACTGAGGTCCCTTTCCTTCATTTTCTTCTGTAAATACAGAACAAAAATATTCATTGAGGCAGTCAGCCTGACCTTTATCCTCTTCTACATACCTTCTTACGCCCTGGTAGTTAAAAAGAGACATTCCACTGCCCAAATATAAATAAACAAAAATGACTATTTAGTAGATACACCAGATGCATGCATTAAATTATTTTCTAATTTTTTCATTGAAGTTATATCTAAAAACATCTTGCAAAAGCTGTAATTCTCTTGTCTGCAGCCTTTTAAAACCGTCCCATTTTTACCTCAGCACATACCTTCTATAACTGTCCAATCAAAGACTTCACAATGCAGCTCAAAGAGAAGTCTTTGCAAGACACGTGTTATGGACACCTGTCTGCCTCTTGAGTTTAGTTACACTGAGCTTAACAACCAGGAACAGGACTGGTTGTCAGTTTGACGGCCAGGGGGATTTAACAAGGTTAATTTCTAAAAGTGCCAATTTCTATTGAATCTGCACTTCTTTTTTTTAAATGGACGAAAAATAAAAAAAAATATAAGACGTTCTTTACATACTGATGAGTTTAAACCCAATAGTTTCCACCATACTACAAAAAAATTATAATAATAAAAAAAAAACAACAGTTATATATCTTAAGTACAGCAATACCCCTGTGGTTAATATTTTTATTTTTTTTTTAAAGGATTTTTGGAAGTTACAGAGCCAAATTAAAATATCTGAACAGTCTGGTGATAACTAGGACAATCCCTAACCCATGGTCTTGTCCTACCATCTGGAGTTCACTCTCTGGTGTTCTGCATCTGAAGACACAAGAGAATGAGTCTCCATATGGCACAGTGTGAGCACATCATCAGGTTTGCTTGCTCCCATTATGACATGAATATATAACTTATGCAAAATCAAGCATGAGTATATCACAGTTTGTTTTTGGAACCAATTTTTCAATTACTTTCAAAGTTTGAGATATAGACTAGACTAGATAGACAGACTTATTGCTCAGTTGTCTAGGGCTGCTCCGCCATCTTTGTTCTTGAGATATAAATAGATAGATAGATATAGTTGGGGTTTATTTTGTTTGTTTGTTTTGTTTGAAAAAAAATCTAAAAAATTCTAATCTTGTTCTCAGCTAGATCTCAGGAGTAAAATTCTGATTATGACACTGGTAGATTGGTGGCAAAGAGGGTGAACTTAGAGTGTCAGGGAAACCTGCTCTGTACACATAACTTCCTTCCACTATAAATCACTACAAAAATAATTCAAGAGGTCATTATTTCTCTTTGGGATTCCAATTTAGAATAACTTCCATTTGTGATGAAGATTTTGTTAATTGATCATGAAAATACAATACACTGTACAATATATAATATTAAACATACCTCAGGATGTTATGTTTTAACCACCACTGATCGGTGGAATAACAGCAATCTCGTCACCAGGGTGTAAAGTTAAATGTTCATCGCCAATAGCCACATACTCCTGCCGGACTGCAAATACCACTTGGTCCTTTATGGTACAAAGTCTAGGATGCAAAAAAACTTTTAGCAATTACAAAAGGGGGAAAAAAAATCTACTAAACTGTATAGAAACATAAAAAAAAAACCCACACACTTTACAATTTTATGCAAAAAAAAAAATATTGCAAATGAAAAAGGGGAACTGACACATAGACAGTTCATGGAGATCGGAGGCAGGCCACCGGCTAAGTGAGATTGGAGGCAGGCAGTTGGCTCATGGAGAAAAAGCTGTGTTTACATTGAAAAGTGTGCAGGGACAGTCTATAGACACCAGAACAACTACATTAAGCTGCAGTGGTTCTGGTGACCATAGTATCCCTTTAAGAATTGTATTTTTGATGTTGAAAAACCTGGCCCATAACTTTTTTAGCAGGCTCCTAGATTCCAAGCAAGTTTCCGAAGGACCACCCCTCCAAATTATACTTACAGGTTCACAGACTTGTTTTTTATTTATGCATATTAAAATACCAGCCTACCTTGGGTGAAAGCGTAAAATTTCTTCCCACAGAAGCTGAGATGTAATTTCTGATGGAACGTGAATGGTTTCTGAACGGACACCTGTAAGTTCGGAACTCTTGGCAAAATACAACACAACCACCTTTGGTAAACAAGGGGGGAAAAAAAAGAATACTTGCCATTTGTAAAGGACTGCAATACTGAAATTTACACTCAACTTAATCTGTGAATTCACACTCTTTAATTAGTGAAACAAAAATAATCATTAGTGACTCAGTTCCAGAGTCCTCATAATTAATTTCAATATCTGGGCCAATAAGATGCTTAGTCAACTTTCAGTTGTGCTGAGACACAAAGGCTGCATTTGCTGTAAGTGTTGAAGGAACTCTATAGAGTCCAAAATACAAAATGTGTATTTCTGACCCTCTAGTGTCAAAAACACAATTTAGCTGGCTGGCCGCCTCCCCCTTCCCCTCCCCACTTACCTCCCTTAAAAAGGCTTTAGACTCACCTTTATTCCAGTGCAGTCCAGGTTTTTGGCACTGGCCCCGCCCCCCAATCTGCCTCCTTGGCTAAGATAATCAGAATTGACAATCTCAGCCAATCCAGTGATTTCCCTTAGAAATGTTATTTTAATTCAATTCTGATGATCTTGGCCAAGGAGGCAGGGTGGAGTGACTGCCACTGGAGGTATCACTAGGGCAGTGTTTACATTAAAATGCCTGCAGGGACTGACTATACTTATCACAACAACTACATTAAGCTGTAGTTGTTATGTTGACTATAGTGTATCTTTAAGTGCTAAGAGCTAAAAAAGAGCTAAAAAAAATTGTTATCATGGTCATCAATGCAGTAGCAAGCAGAATCACTTTTTGATTTATATGACTATATGAATTAATGTAACCTGCATGAAATTCACTTTAATTTTTAACTTTTTATTATGATGTTTAATTGTAATTGTTTTGAAAGGAATGCAGATAACGTGTCAATGCAAAGGTTAATGGGATACTGTAGTGCCAGGAATACAAAGCTGTATTCCTGGCACTACCGATCCTTCTGCCTCCCCCCTCCCTCGCGTCCTCCCTCCTTCCCTTGCGCCCCCTCCTACCTAGAAAAAATATAAAGGGTTAAAAACCCTTTACTTACCTTATCCCAGTGCCGATGTCCCTCAGCGCTGGGTCAAAGCTTTGCCCCCTCCTCCGTCCCACGACAAGCAGGGTCTAATGCGCATGCACGGCAAATGCAGAGCGTGAGTACGTCCAGCGTCAGATAACGGACCAAAAGGATTCCTGAAGCACCCCCAGTGGCTGTCTAGTAGACAATTTAAACATTTCAGTTTCTCTGGTACTGCAATGTTTTACATTGCAGCACTAAGTGCAAAAGGGACACAGCACCCAGACCACTTCAATGAGCTGAAGTGGTCTGGGTGCCAACATTGTCCCTTAAAAGGAATTGCACATGGCATCTCAATGTTTTTATTAACATGTGCTCAGTGTCTCTTAAATTATAAAATAATGATCACATCCCTTGTGCTAATATGACATTTAGAGATCAAACAGAAGATATTGTAAAACTTCTCAAATTTCCTAACAGCCAGGGCTAAATCTAGGAACATGCAACTTTTCCATTAATATGCGACACACAACTAGCTATATTCTCATGATTAGCTAGACTTGTACACAAATCCTTTCGACCTGCAAAGAACGAATCAAATTCCTGATAATCTACGCATGAAAGAATCGATCTCCATCACGTAATTTCCCGACGCGTTGTTTCAATCAGACGCAAGCAGGAATTTGATTATATATTTCTGCAAAGATCTGTGCACAAATCTACAATAAGCTAATAATCTATTTATCTCAAACTACACCTCAGGTATAGAAATCTCCAGAAAGTGTGTTCAGGGATTGATGTGTCCAATGATACATATCACTCCTGCATGCTCTGGGGCAAGTAGAATGTATATGCTGCCGAAGAGAAAGCAGTTAATTGATCATGAATTACAAAGAAACCACGATTAGACAAAGGCGTTCCATCCTGGTATACTAGAATGCTACATTATTATTAATAATAAAGCACCAACAATGTCTGCAGCACTGTAAAATGAGTACATGAAACAGCACAACAGTTTCAGTTACTTTTCATCACTTTATCTGCAGGAAGAAACAAAGTGGGTTTACGTTAAATTCCCAACAATTCTCACTTTGGTGAATAACCCAGTTAGCTATTTTTAGTTTAATTATTATGGTTTAATTATTATTTTATTTCAAGTATTGCCATTTAAATTGCAATTTGCTATAATTCAGAGTTTAGTAAATAAACATCAGTATTTTGTTTATAAACCTCATTAAACCTATAGAGATGTGCAGGGAACAATATGTAAGTATATATGTTGCAGAATTATGTATCTGCACAGTTTGCAACATTGTCACATTAGAAAAGACTTGGATTGCTACAGTTTGCTTAGCATGCATGCATTAACAGAAGGACAATGTAAACGTCCAGCAGTGAACGTGAATATATAGAAATGTCCTACCTCACAAGTCATGGAGACACAAAATAAGGGATTCTATTGCAAATGCAAAAGCCGGTGACAGAACTAAGATCTGAGACATTCAGGAAGCAATTCAAAGTCAGACTGTAAAATCCCTTCTGATTGGTGACTCACAAATTTCTCCTGTGAAATGTTAACTTAGATCTGATTGCTCAGTAAGACTCCCTCCCTCTTAGCTTTATCTTTTTGTTGACTTCAAACAACAATGTTATGGCTAACTGGAGAGGATACTAAGCAGAAAAGTAAAAGAATTTGAATGCTTATCTGTTTTTGTGCAAAATAAAAAACTCTACTGAGTTATGTATTTAAACTTATAGAAGTTGTATGCAATAGAAGCTGTCTCCTACACATTAACAGTTTAAGGACCAAGTCAATTTTACATGTTCTGACCAAAACAAAACCTCTATGCTATATTTATTTATTACTGGTATTTATAAAGCGCCAACATATTCCGCAGCGCTGTACAATTAGGGTAGAACGTACAATATACACACACAGGAATAAAAGGTAGAGAGGGCCCTGCCCATAAGCTGAGATCTAGCCATTGAAGCTCTTTTATACAAAGTGATTAGTTAGTCTGTTAGCTTGCTATCTGTTCAACCATAGCTTACCTTTTTCATATAAGGTGCACTAACACTTATTATATATACAGCACCCACAGACATACAGAGCACCTACACACATACAGCACTCACACACATACAGCACCAACACACATACACATCACCAACACACATACAGCACCCACAGACATACACAGCACCAACACACATACAGCACCCACACATACACACACACAGCACCCTCACACAGAGCACACAAACAGCACCCTCACACACACACACAGCACACTACCAGTACCCTCACACACAAACAGCACCCTCACACACAGTACATTAACAGCACCCTCACAAGTGCGCACACACACACAAACAGCACCCTTACACACAGTACATTAACAGCACCCTCACATGTGCGCGCACACAAACACCCTCACCCACATAGCACACTACCAGCACCATCACACACATCACACTAACAGCACCCTCACACACAGTACATTAACAGCACCCTCACAAGTGCGCACACACAGTACATTAACAGCACCCTCACAAGTGCGCACACACACACACAAACAGCACCCTTACACACAGTACATTAACAGCACCCTCACAAGTGCGCACACACAAACACCCTCACCCACATAGCACACTACCAGCACCATCACACACATCACACTAACAGCACCCTCACACAGCACACACACACACACGTGTGTGTATATATGTATACATATATATATATATATATATATATATATATTTGTGCTCGGAATTTAAATACGTGATGGATAGTAACTGTGAGCAAAGTTGGTTGTGGTGTGCCGAAACCAACGTACGAGTGGGCCTGTAAATAAAAGAGGGCCCACCAAGGATAATGTAGTTAAAACAGGGTGTAGGTGGGTGGGGACAATCAGCTGAGCGGCAGCGGTGAGTAGGGGCTGGGAGCTTAAGTAGGGGACTTACTCCTCCCACAAATTCAGGCCTAATGGCCTTTCTACTTGTGCTCGGAATTTAAATACGTGATGGATAGTAACTGTGAGCAAAGTTGGTTGTGGTGTGCCGAAACCAACGTACGAGTGGGCCTGTAAATAAAAGAGGGCAAAAAGATAAATTCGAGAAAATACACACTTTATTGCATTTTACAAGACCAAGTTTCTGAAAGCTTGGCGAAGCTCTTTCTCTGGTTGCGGAATATATGCGTTATATATGGAGGATTTCCATCGCCCGAGCTTTTTGATGATGTGGACCGGTGCGTTTGTGCTTGAGGCTGCTGAGGCGGCTCCTATGCGGAAGGAGTGCCCGGAGAATGCAGCCGGATTGTGTCCAAGCTTAGATAACAGGATTCTGACATGTGACATCAATTTTGCCGTGGTAAGCGGGTGCCCTTGTAATGTTAAGAGCGGAGAGTCTGGCAGGTGAGTGCGAAAAGTTGACCGTAGTTGGTCGAGAACTTTCACCGGACACCAGGCATTATCAGTAGGGAAGAGAGGAATTATTGTAGGATGTATTGACCGGTTGGTTTTAGTGGTAGGGATAGAAAGGAGGTAGTGATCCTCTACCTTGGTGAGGTGTGAAGTTTTAAGGCATCGTGCGATATCTCTTTGACAAATCACTGTGAACTCTCTCGGTCTGAGAAAACCGTAGAAAGCGAGATATATGGCAGATTTTATCACCGTATTGGTGTAGCTATCAAATGGGGCTGTGTCAAGGAGATTGCTAAGAGACCTGAAGATAGGCCCGTCTATGGGTAATCTAGTGCTTGCGAGTGGTGGTGAAACCTTTGATATACCTTTCAAGACCTTTTTTATGGGGTATGAAGACAAAAAGGGGTGCTGTTAGGAAAATTGGTGAGGCTGTGGTGCTGAACCCCGGTGAGGTAAAGTTTAATGGTGTTGTGTGACAGATTAAGGTGTAGGTGGCAGAAAGAGGCAAAAGACACCATGGTTTGGATAGAAAAGTCACCTTGTAGCCCGAATTCTGCAGTGAATTTGTTAAATATGTTAAGTGCCCTATTGTAAGTGATAGCAGTGTTGGGTGATAATGCTTGGTGAGTGAGTGATCTAGCGTGAAGCAAGAGTGTGCTTAATCCAATATTAGTTCGTGAAACCGTGGTGTCCTGGATGGCTGATGGTGAGCTGCTGGGAGTGCCTGAGAAAATGCCTGGAATCGAGAACGAGAAAGAGCGTCAGCGGCGGTGTTGTGAATACCCGGGATGTGAGAACATACTAAGTGAAACTGATTGGATGCTGCCAGCCAGGTCAACTTGCGAATCAGCCGCATGATGGTCAGGGATGATGAGCGCCCTTTGTTAATAATATCGCAAGCTGCCGAGTTATCTGAGTAGCATTTTACTGCCTTGCCGGACCAGAGATGACCCCAGGTGTGTGCGGCCGCCACAATGGGGTAAATTTCAAATAGGGTTGAGGTCTCCCTGAATCCTGGCAAGGCATCCGTCTCAGTGGGCCAGTGGCCCCTAAACCAGTGGTTCCCGAAAATGGCTGCGAAACCGGTGTTGGCTGCTGCCTCTGTGTGGATGATGGGTGAAGAGGTGGAGAGAGGGGGGATAAACATGGAGATACCATTCCAGTCTTTCAAAAACTTCCCCCACATAGCCAAGTCAGCCTTGGCGTGGGGGTCCAAAGAAACTGTGCCGGAGTCCGGGACTCCATGGAGCAGGCAAAGAAGTCTGGAAATAAAAGACCTTCCCTGCGGAATGATGCGCATGGCGAAGTTCAGAGATCCAAGAAGGGACTGAAGTTCTCTCCTGGTGCAAACGTCACTCCGCAGGAACGTGTCTATCTCCCCTCTCAATCGTGAAAGTTTGTCGTGTGGAAGGCTAGCTCTGAGTTTGACAGAATCGAGCTCTATGCCTAAAAAGGTCAACTTTGTTGTGGGTCCTATAGTTTTGGCTGGGGACAAAGGGACTCCAAGTGTGGAAAAAAGTGCGGTAGTACTATTGATTGCTGTGGGTGTTGATGACCCTGGCTCTATCAGTAGAAAGTCATCTAGATAGTGAATAACGGAGTGACACCTGATGACGTTCAGAAGCAGCCAGCATAGTGACTCTGCGAAAATGTCGAAAAGTTTGGGGCTGCTTCGGGAACCAAAAGTGAGTCGTGTTGAGAAGTAATAATACCCTCGCCATTTAACACCGTGTAAGTGCCAGAGTGAGGGGTGTATGGGCAGTAATTTAAAGGCGTTAGTGATGTCTGTTTTGCTGAGCCAGGGTCGATTACCAGATGTCATGATGGACTGTATGGCGTCGTCGATGGTGACGTACTGCAGAGAGAATTCGTCTGCTGGAATGAGTGCGTTTATGCTTGGAACAAAAGAGGAGTGCGGTGCCGATAAATCGATAATGAGACGTTTTTTATTAGAATATTTGTGAATAGCAATACCAATAGGGTTAGTGCGCCAGGAGGAAAACGGTGAAGAGGTGAAAGGACCGATCATGAAACCGTTTGTGGTTTCTGCGGAAATGAGAGTGTCTACAGCGACTGGGTCTAAACGTGCAGACTGGAGATTAGGACATTCTAGTGTACCTGGGGGAATGGCTATTATGCCTGTGTGAAACCCTTGTGAGAAACCTGTGGTGAGAAAATCCACTAAGTGCCTGCTGGGGTGAGACCTTAGATAAAAAACCAGGTTGTCGATATTTATGTCGGTTAGTCATTTGTTTGGTGACAACCTGGCTGGACACATGGTCTTGGTATGTGCCCTGAAACATATGGAGCAGATGTGCAATAATCTACAGGCGCTGAAACTGCAGGAGCCTGCGTTGAAATTATTGCACACCTGTGCTTTACCTAAAAAGGAGATGGGCCTACCCAGCTTATCCCGGAGACCACCCGCTGGCTTGTGAGGGGTGAAAGAGGAGTGAGGTGTGAACGTGGGGTGAGGGGTGAGAGTGGAGGTGGTGGGATCTGGTTCGACGGGACATAAGTCCGCCATGTGGGATGTGGAATTACAGATGGCACAAGCCGGGGGCCTGAGTCCGGCGAAGTGGCGACAGAAAAGTTCAGTGTCCATCTGACCCCAGTTCATTCTAATGTTGAACTGCTTGAGATGGGTCGCCGCCTTCGCTGAGACTGACTTGTGGTAGTCATAGAAGGAAGAGCCCCCGTACTTGATGCCTAGATCCACTACCTTGTGGAGATAGAGATCTAGCTCTTCTCTCCTATGGGGATACACCGTGCAAATGACGTCGCGGTATATCCCGAAAGCTATCACAAACTGTGGGATAGACAATTTTTTATTAAGCCTGGGATCCCTCGTTTTAAGCACAACAGAGATGTCACCATAATTGTATGCCTTGTTCTCGAGTACATCCTGAGAGGCTATGAGTAAAGACACCAGACACACATCCTTCCCGTCAAGGATATCTTTCCTGATAGAATCTGGGACGGAGTGTGCTGGTGACTCGAAAGGTGTGATGGCTGTGCCAGGTGCTGGAGGGGGGAGTATAGAGGGACATGAAGGTATGGCAGGTACAGCCGTGGTAGAGACTGGGACTACGGTGTTAGTACCTGAGGAG